CCTGTAGTCCCAGCTACTTTGGAGGCTGAGGCAAGAGAATCGCTTAAGCCCAAGAATTTGAGGTTCCTGTGGGCTGTGATGTCACAGCACTCTACGGAGGGCAAAAGAATAAGACTGCCTCAAAAACAAGTTTAAAAGGTAAGGAGGACCAGGAACTCCAAAATACTTCAGATGCTTACAATGCTGGGGTGGATGTAATGACCAAGATAGCCAGAAGCCCCCATCACTAGTTTACTCTGGGGAGAGGTGAGAAAAGGGACACCTGCAGCAGATAGCCCCATCTGGTACTGTGAACATGGCTGAAGAGGGCTCAGCTTCCTTTGTCATTTGACACTTTCCTGTGGCTGGCTCCATGACCAATGATCTAGAGCCACTTCCTCTTTTACCCACCTTGAGGACCCTCTGGCTACCTATAGTTGGGGCCTCTTGGATTCCCCAAGTCCTTGTCTTTCTGGCCTGGGCATGTATTTATTTATTTATTTTTTGAGACAGTCTCACTATGTCGCCCTAGGTAGAGTGCTGTGGTGTCACAGTTCACAGCAACCTCAAACTCTTGGGCTTAAGCGATTTTCTTGCCTCAGCCTCCCAAGTAGCTGGGACTACAGGCACCTGCCACAATGCCCGGCTATTTTTTGTTGTCATGGTTTTTTGGCAGGCCTGGGCCAGGTTTGAATCTGCCAGCCCCAGTGTATGAGGTTGGCACCTCAGCCTCTAAACTAACGGCGCCGAGATGGCGTTTTCTTATAGACTCACCCCTAATCATTAATGACTTCCACTATGTACAAGAGACAGTCCCAGCATTGCCCCAAGCTCACAGGCAGGGAAACTGAGACACAGCAGAATCAGATGGGGCAGCACAGGCCTTTGTTTCAGTAGCACCCAAGTTATCCCATCTCAGGACCTTTGCACTGGTCTCTACCAGAATTTAGGGCTGCCTGCCCCTCTGGTGTTATTGCTGATACACAGACAGGTGTCGCCTAAGGATAGAGGTACATGATGAGAACTGCCACCTCAGATGATTTCAGTGTGCAAACATCACAGTGTACTCACAGACCTAGACCAGCAGCCTACAATGTACCTATACTGTATGGTAGAGATGCAACCTGCACAGCTTGAGACCACTGAATACTGTAGGCAACTAACATAATGGTGTTTGTGTCTCTAAATGTATCTAAACACAGGATAGAATAAATATATGGTATTGATGAAAAGATCATTATGGGATTTATAACTGCTTCAGTTTATATCTGCCATTTCCCTTTTTGTTTTCTCTATGTCACCTGGCTTTTTTTTTTTTTTTGAGACAGCCTCAAGCTGTCCTGCTGGGTAGAGTGCCGTGGCATCACAGCTCACAGCAACCTCCAACTCCTGGGCTCAAGTTTCCTGCCTCAGCCTCCCAAGTAGCTGGGACCACAGGCACCCGCCACAATGCCTGGCTCTTTTTTGGTCCCAGCCATCATTGTTATTTGGTGGGCCTGGGCTGGATCACCTGGCTTTTTCTTGTGTTGTTCTGTTTTCTTTTGCATTAAGTAATATTTTTTATTTTTTTTAATGCTTGCCCCCTATATATTTTTTTAAATTGTGGTAAAATACACATAAAACCACCATCTAAACCATTTTAAGTGTATGATTCAATGGCATTACACGTTATTGTGCAACCATTGCTACCCTCCATTTCCAGAACTTTCTCACCTTACCAAATTAAACTCAGTCCCCATGAAACTAATTTTCCAACCCCTCCCCAGCCCCTGGCACCCATCTTTCTATTTTCTGTCTCTGTGACTCTGAGGACTCTACAGACCTCCTGTGAGTGAATTCACACTGTGTGACCTATGTCTGGCTTCATTTACTGAGCATGATATTCTCAAGGTCCAGCCATGTTGTAGCCTGTGTCAGAGTCTCCTTTCTTTGTAAAGTTGAGTAAATCCCATCAGTCATATGGATGGATCACTTGTTTTGCTTCCGCCTTCTGTCTGCTGCTGTGAACATAGAGTCCCTCCTTCTCATGCTTTGGGCCTCAGCCCAGAAGTGAGATAGCTGGGTCATGTGATAACTGCATCTTAGCCACCTTCAAATTTATGCCCACTTAATTCCAGTGAACTGTAGAGACTTTTGTAGCTCATACACTATTTGAGCAATGGTGGTTACACTGACGCCATCCATGCGTGTTATAAACCCGGTAATGCACTGTCACAGATGCTGACTTTATGTAATGATTTATGTCTGTTAAAGTCTGGCTAGGTTTTTTCCAGAAGGTCAGTGTCCCCTTTGTTTCCCGACATCTGTAATGACCTGTTCCTTTTGTAAGTAACCATGTGCCTCATCTACTGGCACCCAAACCACACCTACTTGCAAACAACAGTGGCTCCATACTTATTGAGAGGCAGCCATCGTGTAGGGGACAAAACATGAGCCTGAGACTCAATAAAAGGTAGTGACGTGTCCCAAGGGCCTTCCCAGGAGGAAAGGGCTCCGTAGAACCCAGGGAGCTACCCCTTTTTTTTTTTTTTTTTTGAGACAGAGCCTCAAGCTGTCTCCCAGAGTGTCGTGGCATTACAGCTCACAGCAACCTCCAACTCCTGGGCTCAAGCGAGTCTCCTGCCTCCGCCTCCCAAGTAGCTGGGACCACAGGCGCCCGCCACAACGCCCGGCTATTTTTTGGTTGCAGCCGTCATTGTTGTTTGGCGGGTTGGGCTGGGGATTCGAACCCGCCACCTTAGGTGTGCGTGGCAGGCGCCTTAGCCGGTTGAGCTATAGGCGCCTAGCCGAAGCTACCCTTTTGATCCCCGCAGCCTGTGTGCTGCCCTCCGAACGGCAGAGGACGCGCGTCTGCCGCTGGGGAGAAGGAAGCGCTACAGCGCGCACAGCTGAGGGGCGTGACTCACCAGCGACCTCGCGATAAGTGCGCAGGCGCCGGTAGGAGAGGCCTTTTCCGGGAAGGCGGCGAAATGGTGAGTGTTACCGATTAGCGCGTCTCACTTGACCTATCCGGCTCCATCCGAACTTTAGTTATCCCGTGGGGTTCGGGGCCAAGCCTCGTGGCTGCGGCGGCCGCGTTTGGCCCCCGGGGCCGCGGAATGGGAGCGCAAGGAGGGCCCACTAGGTGTGGACGCCAGAAGGCGGGGAAGGCCGGACGGGTCCCTGAGCTCCAGATCTGTGCGTGCCTCCACTGAGGGTGTCGAGGCGCTATGTCCCCACGGGGAGTTTGGCCGGGTGATCCCCCCGTGCGTCGGCGGGGCGTCCGGGACCGAGGGAGGTGGGTGTCGGGCTCCCGCTGATAATGGCCCACGTCCGCGCAGGCAGAAGTGGAGCAAAAGAAGAAGCGGACCTTCCGCAAGTTCACCTACCGTGGCGTGGATCTCGACCAGTTGCTGGATATGTCCTAGTAAGGCGGCTGGGCAGGGCGGAGGCTTCCCCGGGGGACTGCGGGCGGGCCAGCGGTCCCTGCGCTACTGTGCCCTTTTCAACTCACTGAAAATGGAAACACTGCGTGTAGCTCACACGTCTTACGGAAATTGGCAGCAGGATGGGGGCCCGTGAGCACTGTAGGCTTCCTAGGCAGGAGCATGGTGGTCTGACTCGTGCTTTGAAAGTCTGTCCCTAGCTGGGTGCGGTGGCTCACGCCTGTACACCCAACACTGGAGGTCGAGGCGGGCCTATTGCTTGAGCTCAAGATTTGGAGACCAGCATGCGACTCTTAAAAAAAAAAAGCCGGGGGTCGGTTCGGTGCCCGTTGCTCAGTGGTTAGGGCGCCGGCCACATACACCGATGTTGGCGGGTTCGAACCCATCCCGGGCCAGCTAAACAACAATGAGAACTGCAACAACAAAATAGCTGGGCGTGGTGGCGGGCGCCCATAGTCCCAGCTACTTGGGGAACTGAGGCAAGAGAATCGCATAAGCCCAAGAATTTGAGGTTGCTGTGAGCTGTGACGCTGTGGCACTCTACGAAGGGCGACATAGTAAGACTCCTGTCTCAAAGAAAAACGAAAATAGCCAGGCGCCATGTGGGGCGCCTGTAGTCCCAGCTCC